TGCCTTTAATTACTCCATAGGACATGACCTTTCGCACTTGTTTATGACACAATACCGCTTTTTCAACCTCGAAGGTGATACCTAAGTAGAAGGTCTGTAAAAAAGGTATCCAAACCAGTGCATACCGCCGTCAAGCTACAAGGAGACCACTCGAAATGATGCAAATTTGTAGGAAAATGCCCAAATAAATATACTAACAAGCCAACAAAATTCTCGAAATATTATTCGCAGAATTTTGGATTGTATCTTTCAGTATTTTTTGTAACAGTAATAAAGTTTGGTGTAAGAAAAATGGGTGTGCACCCTTAGTCTAAAGTGTAATTATGTGGAGACCAACTCGCACCTACAGTTACTTGCCTGTGGGCAGGTGGTCAAGCGCTGAGTTATCTGCTGACCTCTTCTTGGACCCATTATCGATCATTTGAATAATGAACTTTATCACATAAACACGGTTCAAATTGCGGCTAAAGACAAAACATAAACGGAACAAAAACAGGAATTAAAACAGGTATGCCTGAAAAGCTAAATAAAGTGAATTTGTTGAATTGTTACGATTTTATGGCCGGAAATTGATTGCTGAAATACGTATGGAATGAAGCGCTTATTGCACCATTTGACCTTTTTCTTCTGCAGTTTAACTTGAAGAAGATGGCAAAAGACTTACCAAATTTTGTGGAATCATATGGTTTTCAGGCTCTGTGTTATGTAATCAGCCTCAGCCTAGGTTTCCCCAAATTACCCCTCTGTGCCCTTTGGAGGGGTTGGTGGACCTTCGAAGCTGGTACCCGGAGCCGAAACCCCCTCCTGCGGCTTGCAATGTTGGCGGCCATTGCCCTTCCTCTCCGCAAAATGGGCCCACCCGCGTTCGTCATTGTCCCTCCCCCCTCCCCCCTCTCTCGAGAAACTCTTCTTTATCAGGGCTTTTTGATGCTTTTCCCTTTTTTTCTCTTTAACTTAGCCCTTCCTCGTTGAATCACGATATTTATGTTTTATTCCCGCGTTCTTTATAACTAGTGTAAAAATGTTTCTTTAATTCGCATTACTTGTATGGTTCAGTTCTGCAACAATAGTCGTAAATAAATAAATAAATAAATCAACACATCACTTTGAACAACTCAGAAGAGTTGACTATGATGGCCTGGCAAAAAACATTTGGACCAGCCGCAAAACTCCATGCTAATAATTTCCAAGTATTATTAGGTTTTTAGCATAGATACTCCTGAAGTCATTGTTCTAAAACGCTAACTTGAAAGGGAGAGATCACAAAATGGAGGAGAAAGAGCTGCCACACGAATATGTGGAATTACCACGTGAGGATCTGCTCGGAACAGAGCCATAATTCAAAAAGCTTTCGTGGAAACTTCTGTCACGTGGACGCGAAAAATTTCATCGCAGCGCCGATATGGAATATCGTATTGTGATGACCACTTCATTAGATTGACCCGGCATAACCCAGCCAGCATGTGATTTTTAAGGTTCAATCTACGAGCCGGTGAATTAACACCGCGAAACTATTTGGAATGTGCCATCGAGAGGAATTGCCAATTCGGTAAAAAAATATAAAAGGTGCTGAAGAAAATGGTGGTAAGCTCTTTGGCTGAATAATTTTCGTCAGTTCTCTACAACAAACATTTCCT